TATAAATGCATATTTTTCGAAAAAACTCGTATTTTCCTTAAAACAAAAAAACACTAAATTGTTTTTTCTAATTTCAATACAGATTAGTCGTACATAGTTAAAATTTCGATTTTTCAAAAATTGTAAATTTTCGGTAGAAAAAATTGTTAACCAAATTTGTACGCTATTATAAAACACTCTGTATACGAGAATTCGCTAAATATATTTTCGAAAACCACATAGCATCTTAATCACAATAGATGCGTCTAAAACCTGGTGGAGAGAAAAGATCATTTGTTGTTTACAATCCCGCAATTTTGCGGATCCGCGGAATTGATTGCTTTAATCCCGCGGGTTTGCGGGATTGCATTTCCTAATTTCAACCAAAATAGGACACCCTGTACAGGGTGGTCGAAATTGGTCTGTTCAGGGAAAATCTATTTCCTGGCTAGATAGAGCAAAACCGACATAGATCATGGGCTCGATTTCTGAGACATGTTTAATGGCATAAACGGCCTATCGATATTTTCACTGCCAACTGAGATACGGGGTCTTTTTGAATTTTCGACCATCTTGAGAATTGCTCATAATTTTTTATTTCGCAGAATAATAAGATTCTGTAAAAACGTTCTTAAGATACTTTTTTAAGCATGACCTATTGGCGTACTCAGTTTTTTTTCTATACTTGCTCTTTTTGTCAGAAATAAAACATTTTTTTTAATGGAAGTCATAGTTCACTATAACTTTAAAAAATGTTGTATGAACTTTAAAAAATGTTTATTCCATTGATTTTAATTGTAATTAGTAATACTAATACAGATTGTTAATTTACCTTTTCAAAAGTATTTAATTATGTTGATAAAATAAAGATAAATAATAATATACAATATTAAATTGTAAAAAAAAATAATTAGGCAAATAGGTCAACACAGAATCAATGCCCGCTTCTATATAAAGATAAAACACCTAATATTTCTCTCATTTTTATAAATAGAAATAGATACCCGTAACTTTATATCGTTAAGGGTTAAATGCCAGCATTTTTTAAAGTTCATAGCCAACTATGATTTTTATTTGTAACAAAAAGAGCAAGTATAGAAAAAAACTGGGTATGCCAATGGATTATGCTTAAAAAAGTATCTTAAGAACGTTTTTACAAAATTTTAATTTTGTGAAATCAAAAAGTTGTAGGCAATTTTCAAAATTTTCGAAAATTTAAAGACCCCGTTTCTTAGTTAACAGTGAAAATATCGACAGGTTGTTTATGCGATTAAATATGTCTCAGAAATCGAGCTCATGACATCTATGCCGGTTTTGCTCTATCTAGTTAGAAAATAGGTTTTCTCTGTTAAAACACACCAATTTCGACCACACTGTACTTTGAAACTAAGTTTCAAAATTATGTATATGATATGTCATTCTATTCACAGTGTCATTTTTCTGTCGAATAAAGTAACAAAATACCGAGGGTGCCATTTAAAAATCAAAAGTTGTAGTCATTTCCGGTGAAACAGGAAGTGACCGAAAATAATTGAATACGTTAATGAATCCTAATTAATGTAATTTACTAACATATCTATTCTTGATTTTTTATCTGAAAAAAAAATAAAGTATTGTAGCCAAATGATTGGATTTTTAGAAATTGTGAGTTTTTTCCCCGAAGCAGACCTACAAAATATACAGAGAGTTTTAATATTCCGTGGACATGTTTATTGGACACAATTTACCTCTATACAAAAGTGCTTAGTTTGTCCGTTAAAGTACATTAATCACAAATAAACTCGAAGGTTAATTTAAAATTAATGTAGCTTGTCATATTATTTGTGATACTAACATAAAATTCCATATTTTTGCTAACTAGGTTATTAACGCATACTAGATTTTATGTGCCTACATAGCTTGACGTGTCAAGAAACTTTTTCAGTCACGCTTCAGAGAAACATTTTTTTCTTCAAAAAGTATGCGCGGTGGCGCTTTTTTTACAGGAGACAAAAAAAGTAGTAAATACTAGATTCTCTACTGACCATTTTATGAAATAAGGGGGGGTCTGTCGTCGGTGGAGCTGGAAAATATTTATACTAAAATTTATCTAGGGGTTAGGGCACTGAGATGCCCAGAACTCGGCCTGTTTTTTCGCCTAGAATGACTGTAACCAAGACCGAGTTCTTGTCGGACCTTGATTTGATGCCCTTTAACGGACAAACGAAGCACTTTTGTATACCGGGTGCGCCTCAAAAGTGGCTCACCCCTATAACTTTTGAATTTTTTCAGATAAAACATCGAGATTTGGTATGTTAGTATATGACATAAATTAGGATTGAGAGGCATATTCAATTGTTTTCGGTCACATCCGGTTTCACCGGAAATGACTACAACTTTTGATTTTTAAATGGCACCCTCGGTATTTTGTTTCATTATTCGATAGAAAATGGCACATCAATCCTAATTTATGTCATATACTAACATACCAAATCTCGATTTTTTTTTGAAAAAATAAAAAAGTTATAGGGGCGAGCCACTTTTAGGCGTTTACGAAAATTGCACCGGTAGGTACCGGGTAACTTTTTTACGTTCGAAATTGATAACGGTATTTTTGTTCCTTGTTCTAATTTTATCACACATTTACCGGTGCATGTATTCGGTTTATAGATTATGGATCGGGGTAAGGTCTCGGTAAATGACCGTTATGAGAGAAAACCGAACTTATAAGAGTTTAAAACGCGTTTAAAAAATCAGAGATCAGAAACCTATTAATTGAAAATCGCCATGGACATGGATGTATTTGAAATTGAGCAGGGGAAATGCTCTGTATGTGGTCTTGAGGGAGATTTGACTGAAATTCGAAATCATTTTGAAGAACATATCAGCAGAGATTTAACTGGAGAATTGGATGAAGAATCTACTTCATTCATCTTATAGGCTTAGAGGTTGTGGCACAAAATCTTGTTATTATTATATTAATTGTATGTTATTATTATATTAATTAGTATAATAAATTTAATCTTAAGATATTAACCAGTTCGTTTTAAAAATATTCTACCAGATTCATATTTGACATAAAACATATGTTTACCGCTGGGTAACGGTAAATACCGAAGGTATAATTTTCGTAAACGCCTTTTGAGATGCACCTGGTAGAGGTAAATTGTGTCCAATGAACTTATTTTGACTTCAAAAATATGTAGTAGTTCTATGCCCCCGTAATATTGGGACGCACTGTATATATTTTAATATTACATTAAGGCGTGATATTTGTCTTTATTTTTTAGTGTTATTTATAAAAATTGTTTGATATCAATATTTTCATATTTGCGAAGATAAGTACCCAGTTAAAAAAGAACGGATTCATAGAAACTTTATGCAGTCGAATTGGTCGTTGCAATGTTATTTAGAATGTTTAATAATAAAAAGTTATAAAGAATTTCATTAAGTTATAAAGAACATTCCAGGAGAATCCGATGTTATGGAGCTCCTCTAGTTTCAAGTTTGTGCTGGACGGCCGGGTCTTCTTTTTCCTTGGGGGTTCTATTCGAGAGAGGTTCTCACAATATCTTTGTTTGGCTTTCTCAGAGCATGTCCTATCCATCCGTATTTTCTTTTCTTAATTTCTACATCCACCTCTGGATGGTTAGTGAGGTGAAGTAGGTCTGTGTTACGAATAGTATTAGGCGAAAATATTTTTTTCTGAAGATATTTTGGCCTATTTTGGATATTTTTTGTATTCGTTTAATAGATGATTTGGTTACTTCCCAGTTTTCGCAGCCAGACAGCCATGACATATCCTAAGCAATATCATTTAACAAAATAATATTATAGACTACATTGTGACATTTTATATAAATTTTGAGTATGAGGATTTTCTAAAGAATGTAACATGTTCAAAGTATAATCTATTTCCAGTTCTCAATATTACACTGGATATAAAAAGTGTTCAACTTAAAATTAGAACAAAAATTTTGGTTCAGAAATCTTTAAATAGATTGAATTTTTTACAAAATATTTTTAGCAATATTAGATTTTAGCAATTAGAGCGGGATAGATTTTTGGTTCTACGAAAAATAAATAAAAAATTAAAATTCCTGATACTTTTATTTATTTATTTTATATTATAAATAGTTCCACACATTATTACTAATATTGAATTTATAGTAGACACTCTGATAAACAAAAATTCTATTGATGAATACTTTTATTGTAGCTCTATCATCTATTTTTTTTACAGATGGGGAATTTTTTCATTTATAAATCAAGTTGGCTTTCTTAGTTTCATTTATTTTTTAATTCGGTATATGTGTATACATTAATAGGTAGTGCGGACATTAAGTTACCAATTTAAACATTTACATAAACAAAACGATTTTCAGAATGAGTTATTCACGGTCTAAAGAATATTATTCTATTATATATTTGATATTAAGTTAGAGTTGTTAATATGCAATAATTAAATTATTGTGCTTGTTTTAATAACATTATTAATATAATTATGTTCTATTATTTTATCAAAAAAAAAAAAGAACAAAGTAGTTTCGACTTGGTCTTATATTATCGCCTAAAATGGAATAATCCAATTTTTAATCTCTATATATTATACATATGTGACACATTTATTTAATAATTATTATCTTAGACGTTAAAATACACATCGCCCATTTAGGGTAACTAGCACTTTTGGGGGGCTAAACATTGGTTAGAAAAGTTATATTTGCACGCCTTTCAAAATGGAAATTAATTGTATATCTGTAATGAACCGATCTAACAGCGTTTTCAGATGGAGCGGATCGTCCGCGACTTCGAGCAAGTACCATGAGTTTATATGAACGATTTCACATGGGTCGCGTATGCTCCGTCCGGATGAGCTATATTGAAAAAACATCCGCGCGGACGACGCTCCGCGCGTACGGTCCGCTCCATCTGAAAGCGCTGTAATTGCAGTTACTTAATTTGCTATAAAATAAGTTTTATATAATTTTTATCAGTTATTGATTGTTTTACTTCAATTACAGATGAATTTTTGGTTGCAGACGTAGCATATCTAAGAGAAGGAGCATCAGCCGGCGGAGAACAAGCCCATCAAGAGGACGTAGGAGCATTTCGCGTCGCAGGAGCCCTTCTAGACGCCGAAGTCCTCGAGGAAGGCGCAGCTATAGTCGCAGGAGAAGCTTGAGCAGAAACAGGAGGCTGCAAAACAGCCGAGGTAGACGCAGCCCCAGAAGAAGAAGCAGAAGCATGAGTAGACGACGCAGCCGTGATCGGTTAGTTTGATAGCGACAGTATGCCCGCGAAATCCTCGTAAATAATTATTTAAACGTAATTTTATTCTAATTGTTTATTTTACATTACAGGAGAATTAGACGAAGTCGTAGTCGCAATAGACCTTTCAGACGGTCCCCTATTAGAAGAAGAAGTAGATCAAGAGACAGACGGTCACGTTCGCGTAGGAGATCCAGAGATAGAGGAAGCATAAGAAGAAGAATATCTAGAGATAGATCCCGTGAAAAAACACGGAAGCATAGTCCTAGTCCCCCCAAAAGAGAGGAGCGCAAAGAAAACGATTTAAGAATTCGCAAAGCTTCGAGCCCGAGGAAGTTAGAAGAAAAAAAGCGCGAAGGGTCGGTTGTCGTTAAATCTGACGAATCTAAGAAACGCGAATCTCATAGATTCGAAATCGCTCCTGAAGAGAGGAGGGTTATTACAATGGTTGAAGCACATACTGTTGTAGAACTCAAGAGCAAAGATATTGAACGTAAGAAATCAAAGTCTAGAAGTGTTAGTCCACAGAAAAATTATCCTATACCTCCATATGGTCCACCGCGATACTCTAGAAGTCTTTCTAGAACACCCTCGCCATTTATTAAAGCAAATGAATTTCCGCCAAAAGGTAAATTGAATGTTATTAATGAAGATAAAAGAAAAGTTCAGAAAGAAAAATCTGAAATCAAACCTAAAAAAATAGTTAAAAAGATATCAAGATCAGAATCAGAATCTAATTCAAGTGAGTCAGAAAGCGAACGAGAAAAGGAGAAGAAACGTAAGCTTAAAAAGAGAAAAACCAAAAAACGTGATTCAAGCTCTAGTGATAGCGATGATGACGATACTTCTTCAAAAAGTAAAAGGGGACGAACCAGCAGTACGGAGGTAGTAACTAAGATCAAAAAAATTAAAGAAAAAAAGAAGGAACGTGACAGTAGCGATGACAGGAAAGCAAAGAAGCGTCGCCAAAGCTCGGAGTCTGAGGAAGAGAAAAAAACAAAAAGGAAACGTTCAGTCAGCCCGGAAAAAGCGCGAAAATCGAAGAGAAATGATTCGAGCGATAGTGATGTTCCTAAAAAACCTAAGAAGAAAAAAGAGAGCTCAGATGAATCGGAAAAAGAAAAACCTCAAAAGAAAAAGAAGGAGTCATCGTCTGACAGTGACGAAGAAACTGTCAAAAAGAAAAAGCATAGGAAGAAAAATAAATCTGATAGTGATTCAGAGGATGAAGTGGAGGCGAAACGACGAAAGAAGGACAAGAAACACAAGAAAAAGAAGAAGCATTCGAAGAAGCACAAGAAACATAAGAAGAAGAAGGTCGAGACCGAGGATTCTGAAAGTGACGGGGACGTAGTTGTAGAAGAAGAAAAAAAGTTAAGAGAAAAGGCTCTAAAGTCGATGAAGAGACAAAATTCTAGTGATAAATCTGATTAAATAGTAATGTATGATTTTTTAAGTGGTTTATTAAAATATCGATGAGATAAAAATGTCACTGTGTTTTCAGTTAGATTTGTGGTGTCATAAAATATACATAGTGGAAAACGCCACGCTGACTTTTATTTCTGAACCTTTTGTATTTAGTGTAAAATTAGTTATTCCTCCACATTATAATTAAATTTTATAATTGAAACTATACGTTTTCATTTTAGCATTTTACTAAACTTTAGAAAAATTATTTTTAGTGTCAATTACTATTTATATTTTTTAATTCCTGTTTTCAACAATTTTTTTCAAATATATACTAGATACTGGAGTTAATAAGCCTTAAACTTATTTGGATGAAATAAGTGATGTGGCTAATAGTACGTTGATATTAGCATATTAGAAAAAAAAATTATAAAGTTTTGATATGTTGAGGTTATACGTACTAAAAGGAGACTTTTTAAAATCAAAAGAGTTCCTAACTGTAAAGTGTGAGCTTCACCCCCAATACGCACTGCGGTGGTTTTTCTCGTTTTTCTCGAAAAGCATTAGTCGCACAGAAAATTTTATTCTTGTCAGAAATATTCCTTATAAAATTTGCTACAAGAAAGGTTCTATTCATTATTTATATTTATCCAATGTATTTCGAGCAATAACCGTTTGAAAAATGGAGTACAAAAAAAATACAGGCCGCCTTTCAAATTATAGTCTCCCAAGGTATTTTAACGTGTTAAATATACACGCAACAGCTATAATACTGTATAATATAAACAAAAACATTGTCTATTCGACTAAACTAACATTCCATAACATTACTTTCATCTACATATTTTCATCGTCTATAGTTTCTAGAATGTGCTCAGTATTCAATCAACTTTGGCCACGACAGGTTCCATAGCACATAGTTGTACATTTCATTACCCCCCCCCCCCTTTTATTAGCAGCACTTTCCCCCGATGAAAAAGACATTCTTTTTCTGAAAGAAGCCATAGGTAATGTGACAACAACGAAAGTATTGTTACGTTTTTCGTCGGTTCCGTGTGGATAGAAAGTCACAATTTATTTAAACACTATTTATTTAACACTAATTAACAAAAACAATAACGATAAAAGACTTATAGAACTATTTACAAACGATTTTTAACTAAGAATTTATTTTGAATTTTAGCGCGTCAACTGCACTGGTATATTTATAACTGCCCCCCTGTAGGCCACCGCCGCCGGCTTTATACTGACAGGTAAAGAACTCTGTGAATAGTCCATAGATCGTTAGGTGCGTAGAGAAGGTTTTCGAATGTTCTCGTATGTACTCAGTCCATTCCAGTGGGACTCGATTCTTCTCGAACGAATGAATCATTGCGGTGTCTATGCGATGTTAAGGTCATCCGAGGGCGGGCCATATTGTGAGGTTAGGTCGAGTCCACACCGGCCCGCAACACTGCCCCTTCTTAGGCACATGCTCGTCCCGAGATGTATACGGTGAATGAAGGTATTTGCAAAGCTGGCCCCTGGTACATTGCGAAGTCTGGTAGAAATAGCAGTCTACAGTTTTCTCTCCCGATCTCAGCTTTGGGTTGTAGCAGCAAACGAGGATCTCGATTCCCGTAAATCTGAACAAGACTTCAATCATGTTCCGGATTGTACGCCAACTCAAACCATCGAGTCCACACGCCAGCTTCGGAATGGCTAATCGTGCAATGTTGTTGTTTAGCAGGGCTTCTCTCAGTTCAATCAGGGTCTTCCATAGATTGAGATAAGTCGGCTTACTCGGGGACCATTCCTTGGTGACCAGGTAGAAGATGTGCCTTGCTTGACCATGTGCATTGTCGGTTAGCCTCAAGACGCTTCCAACCTCTGGATCCTGTCGGCGTAGTTCTCCGACACGCCCAAACTTCTCATTGAACGTCGCAGCGATTCCTCTGGACATCCGCAAATCTCGAGCCACACAATGAGCGAGCGAATAATCAGGAGGCACGGAAAAGAGGTCTCGTTGATCTTCTTTGGTTACACCATAGCGAGCCTTCTCACTGCTGTTGTATCGGGCCATGAAATCGTCAAAGGACATCTCCGAATCAGGGGGATCAAAGCTGCAGGTTCTCACGGTCCCAGCACGATCTTCTATTTCGCCTTGGTAGGGGCTCAAACGGTTGAAATGGACTACCCTCGGTTTTCCTTTTGGCAATTTTCTGATACGGTATACGACGTCATTAATTCTATCCATGACTTCGTATGGCCCTTCCCACGAGGATTGTAGCTTCGGAGATAACCCACGACGTCTCTGCGGGTTATATAGCCACACCAACTTCCCTGGTTGGTATCCTCCATGCTCAGCTTGAATGTCGTAGTGTTCCTTCATTCGGTCACTAGCACTTTGAATATTTAGGCGGACTCTCTGATGAATGTCGTCCATCCTTTGACGTAGTGTGTGGACATAATCTTCTCCGGCGACTTCTTCTCCCGGTCGGCAACCAAATTTCAGATCACAGGGTAGGCGCACTTCCCGTCCCATAACGATGCTGGCTGGAGTTTGCCCTGTAGATTCTTGGACGGATGAACGGTAGGCCAACAGGAACAGGTGAAGAAATTTGTCCCAGTCTCTTTGGTGGTCAGAGACTACTTTGGCCAGATAACGGTTGATAGTTCTGTTCATGCGTTCAACCATCCCATCGGATTGTGGATGTAGAGCAGTCGTCCTGGTCTTGCGGATGTTCAGGACTTCACAGACGCCTTGGAACAGATTGGACTCAAAGTTTCTTCCCTGATCTGAATGAAGCTCCATGGGAACACCAAACCTGCAGATCCATTCTTTAACAAGGGCATCAGCAATCGTGGACGCTTCTTGATTTGGCAACGCGTAGGCCTCGACCCATTTGCTGAAGTAATCCATTACTACCACAATGTATTTGTTGCCATCGTTCGTCTCCGGGAAAGGACCAGCCACGTCGATCGCTATTCGTTCGAAGGGACTACCAACATTGTACTGGCGCATAGGGGCTTTACCACGCTTTTGTGGCCCATTAATGGCTGCGCAAATGTCACATTTCTTACACCAGGCCCTCACATCTTCTTTGCAGTTCACCCAGTAGAACCGTTCACGCAGCTTGCCAAGTGTCTTGGTAACACAAGATGTCCACCGCTGGTTCCATTGTGAACTTCCTCCAAGACTTCTGGGACCCTCTTCTTTGGAATTACGGTCTGCCTTTCTCTTCTTGTCCTCCGGTCTCTCGATCACACGGCGAAGTAGTCCGTTATCTATTACCAAAGAATTCCACTGAGCCCAGTATGATCTTTACGTTCGGCGAATATCTGCAAACTTCTTCCCACGTTGGTCTTTGGCCTGCGTTTTTCCAGTTAATTACTAAACCTAATTCTGGGTCACTGGTTTGGTCATTTGCAAGATCTTCGGGTTGCCAACTATCATTAACCACAGTTGTTCTTAGGAGTTTCGCTTCTTTCTCTTCTGCTCGGGAACAATGCTTACAGTCCTTAGCGCAAGGTCTTCTGGAAAGTGCGTCGGCATTCCGATGGATTGCCCCAGTTCGATGTTCTGTGTCGAAGTCAAATTCTTGTAATCCTTCAATCCATCTAGCTACCTGCCCTTCAGGATTCTTAAACTGCAAAGCCATTTCAAAGCAGCATGGTCTGTTCTTAACAAGAACTTTCTTCCATAGAGATACTTGTAGAAGTGTTCCACTTCTTTAACTACTGCTAGTAATTCTCGTCTGGTTACAGAGTAGTTCCTTTCCGGTTTTGACAAGGTCTTACTAAAATAACCAATGACTTTTTCTTGACCATCCTGGATCTGAGACAGAACAGCGCCTAACGCAACATTGCTAGCGTCGGTATCCAATATTAAGTTTCCGTTGCCTAGAGGGTAGCTAAGTATGGGCGCACTAGTCAGTGCCTTCTTCAATTTTCGGAATGCCTCGTCAGAATCTGAGTCCCAAGAGAAACGCCTCTCGCCTTCGGTAAGTCTGGTCAATGGTTTTGCGATGGTGGCGAAACCCTGTACATAGCGGCGATAGTATGTGCATAGTCCCAAAAAGCTTCGTAGTTCATGTTTATCTTTAGGTATTGGCCACTCTTCCACTGTCTTGGTCTTCTGTGGATCTACCGCAACTTCTTGGGAGGAGACTACATGGCCCAAGTAGTGTACCTTTTCTTGACACAGGGGCTAAGTTTCAAACCAGAGCACCCTAGTCGCTTGAAAACTTCTTCCAAATTCTTCAGATGGTCGTCAAAGGATTTCCCAACCACTATGATGTCATCCAGGTACACCAAACAGGTAGTCCAGGATAGTCCCTTTAACACAGACTCCATTAGTCTCTCAAAGGTAGCTGGCGCGTTGCACAATCCAAAAGGCATGACGGTAAATTGCCACAGGCCGGAGCCCACCGAGAACGCTGTCTTCTCTCTGTCTTTCGGCGCCATGTCGACTTGCCAATATCCACTCTTCAGATCTAACGTAGAGAATATCGTTGACCCCGCCAGCGTGTCTAGAGTATCGTCTATCCTCGGCAGGGGATAACTATCCTTCTTGGTAACATTATTAAGTTGCCGATAATCAACACAGAACCTGGTGGTACCGTCTTTCTTCTTTACTAGTACTACCGGCGATGTCCACGGGCTGTTAGATGGTTCGATGACACCCTCTTCTTTCATTTCTCGAAGGATTTTGTCAGCTTCTTCACGTTTGGCGAGCGGCAGTCTACTCGGATTTTGTTTGATTGGTCGTGCATCTCCGGTGTCAATTTTATGTTGTACTAAATTGGTACGACCTCTATGTCCTGCTTCTCCTTTATCAAACACATCTTGATACTTGATTATCAGGTTTCTCAATTTTCTACTATCTTCGGGAAATAATCCCTTAACGTTTACTAACTCCTTAACCATTTTGTCCGGAATTTTTGAAATCGAAACTTTGGAGGCTTCCACGCTTCGAATGACTGAGGAGGCCGAACAACAGTACCCTAACAGGGTTCCCTTCTTCAAGGATACAGAATGATAATTCGTGTTCATTACTCTTACCGGTACAGACTTCTTCGCTCGTAGCAGGGGTTTTCCAACAGCGACCCCTCGTCCTATTTCGCTGTCATGGTTCCTTGGCTCCAACAGAATAATACTC